GAAAAAAGGAAAACTGGAAAGGTTGCTGGTGCCCGCTTTAGGAGTTAGTGTTCAACAGGGCGATGAGGTGAAATGGAATGAACAAAATAACCTTACTCGTCGCACTTCTGTTGACATTGCAGAATTTGATTGCTTTCTACGTAATGCAGTTTTATTAACTCTTCGATGAAATCGCTTTCAGAAGATTGAAGAGTGTCTGGAACGTCACCGTCACTCTTTACGGAAAGCGTTAGCGGACTCTGTGGGTGTCAACTGTCCTGAATTGCACTTTTTGCCTGACCGGTCAAAGTTAATGGAAGAGGTAACTTCTTCGATTCTTTATGGTTTGATTCCGAGTACCTGTATTCGAGTTTTTCTTCCATTCTTATGGTCATTCGCTCCTTTGTCGAAGATAAATCGGCATTCAGTGGGTCACGAAAAGAAAATCAGTCACATTTCGAGTTGAAATACAGTTGATAGCTGACCTTCCGAGCACTTCCCCTCCCTCATGATGAGACGAAAGCCTTTCTGATTCTTGGCGTCAGCCCTGCTTGGGTCCAACCTTTGAGATATTGTGACTTTTTTCATTCAAGGCATTGTTCATAGCACGTGCTTATGCATAGCACTCGCTGTTGCCGTGCCTTTACTTAGAGAGAATAGCTCACACGACCGCTTTGACATCCTCATGCAAAACGGTGTCTATCTACGGGCCAATCAGCATCATCGTTCTACCGAGTAAAAGAGTATCAAGACTTGCGCCTGCGCCTGCTGTCGTAGTGTCGTAAGCTTCACCATTTTGCTGGAAAGGAGCGTTTCTTCCTATAGTGGGTTACCGTTCGAGTGATTCGGGTTTGCTCGCGTTAAACTTCGCAGCGTGTAATCTGACCATTCAGTCGCGTTGGATTCGATAGGATGTCGCTTGGCTAATACCAAAGGCCTCACTAGCTGAGCACCTCCCGCACAACATCCATATATCTTCAAATTTAACTCAAAGGCAAGATTCAGGATTAAAAATTGATGAGGTAATTCCACTCAAATGTGAAAGTAGGGTAGGAGGTGGACCGCCAGTGAGAAGAAAAAATCGTGAAATACACAGGAAATACGAGCCTTTTGCTCTACGCTGCGGAGAAGTTCAAAAGGCCGGCAGGGAGATGAGAGATAATGTGAGCGCGGAGAGCGTAGAGAAGTCCGAGTAGAGAGAGCATAGCAGATCAAGTTAGCGACGCAGACAAGCAGACAAGATATCGAGCGGTGGGCGGAGCGTGTCGCACAGGTGGAGCGTGTCAAAAGTCTTAGCGCCAGGATCCGCCTAGCAAAGTAATGGAAAGGATACCTCGCATTGGCGTACCGCAGCGCTTCACCCACACAAACGGTCGTTACTAATGGGCCGAACTCGAACAATTGCCGCTTATGCACGTTAACGACGACAGTGAGACACGGTTGCGCGTCTCGATTTCACCCGATTCTGGCTAGTTTTTTTTTTCGATTTATCTGGCATTTTTCATATTCCAGAACAGTGTGCATGCATTATCTCATTCTGGAAAACTGGCTATCAATCACCAGTAGTGAAATTATTCAAAAGTTTGACGATTGTGAAAAAATAAATAAAAAGGTGCCGAGGTACACGCAGAATGGGCTGTCATCAATGTATTAACTGGTTCAGAGTAAAGATAATTATCGAAATAGAATTTTCTCCGTCTGCGCAAGACTTATATCCATGCTCAGTTGAGGTGGCATGGAATTGGCCACATCCAACACAAATCAGTTTAGTGGTAATAATGCAAATTATAGTAATGATTACAATTGATTTTGTGTGCCATTATAAAGTGTTTAAGGAAATGGATAGGCTGTTCCGAATAGCTGACTATGGCATGGATTACCGAGCTGTGAGCCACACAGGACGAGTGTTAGGAGGTGCTGAAACTGGAAAATCGAAGCGCTCGCTCAAAAAAATAATCGATTCTGAAAATTCTGATAAAACATAAAAATTTATGGTACGCTTGTCTGGAATGTTCAGTTTATTGTGAAAAATACCTGAATGAAACTTGGAGAGAATTGAGCTGAGGAAAAGTTGAAGGACTACTTTTGTTAAAGGGGTATATTCTACGATAACGGAAGTCGAAGGTCGAAGAAGGGGAAACTTAGCTAGTGGAAAGACAATGGATCCCCTAAGGGTGTGGACTGATACGCAATTCGCTTGAGAAGCATGCCCCGGCGACATGGCATGGCCGTCCCCGCGGGCGCTGTGACGCGTCACGCCACAAACGCCTAAGCACCGTTGCAGGTGCCGCTAACGTGCTAGTAAAACGAGGCGATAACATTGAAGATGGCAGCGCGATGGAGTCGCAATCAATCCAAATCATGGGCAAGAAGGGTCCCATTTCCAGATTTTGGCTCGTTTTCGTAGTTTTCTCCGTGTCACTTACCACGTAAAAGCTAAAGACACGGGTGGGGATCGATTTCGTGTGTTATTTCATTCGAAAATTAGACAAGAAGTGTGATGAGAAACGTGGGTGGCGAACGAAAAGCACCATAGAGAACACTAAAATTTCACTTGTGAGGTCGGCCGTGGTATACGGAGAGGCACAGACCTGTAAAAAGAGGGGAAATACGAGAGAGCACAATCGCAACGTATGCAGCGATTGATAGAGTGGCAGCGCTGGCAACGTATAAGGCAAGTACTGAGTACCCTTACCGCTCACTTTTGAGTCGCGGCTCCTGAACCTGAGACCCCTTTCTCATTCCGGGAGGGTTATCTTTGGCACCTAATTCGGCCGCGCATTAAAAATACAGTGAAGGCCTGCCTCGTTCGTCGTATATCTCCATCCTTCAATGATTTTTAGAACAATTGGCGATTCGCTTAGAATTGAATGGAAGCAGTCGAATTCTTCTCAGAGCTTCGGAAGGAAATCGAGCCATATGCAGATGTAGCGTAAAGTCACCGTTTTTTTGAGACAATAGATAACTATCGTATTCAGTTTGATGCCGCTTATAATTCACACAAGCGCGCGTATTACCGCAACGAACATCTGAGCTGAACTGGAGAACATACAAACACATCTGATGATGTCCACTCAAACTATTAAGAGTAGAAGCCAGAGTGAAAATATCCTTCAATGAAATGGGCTGCCGCAGTCTAAGACCCGAGATGCAGTAGGACCCGAAATGAACGGAAATCTGTAGGGTTCTACCCCGCGCAATGAGATCATATGGTGAATCGAAACGACCACTCTGATCATTTGTCGATGGTGTAAAAGTGTGATTGAAGCTGGTTCAACCTGACACACTCTACGCCATTGGGTAATTTCCCAACCTTGCTCCCAACATCCTTAACTTATCCCCATTCTCAAAAATCTCGAATACAGCTCTCTCTTTCAGTGGAACAAATGCGACCTCCGTCAAGGATCCCTCGATCGTTATCAACCCTTGTAGAAGCGCAGACCGAGCCTGCAACGATCCCTGACTAGGTGGTCTGCTTCTAGAAGTCGAGAGGGGATAGATAGGAGGGTCCTGATCTAAGACAATGTGAGTGGTAACATTATCTAAACTTGTGCGCAGAGTGCTCTCCAATTTGTTCCTCGCACAAATGTCACCTGTCTGGGTGAGAAATTTGGACACACTTGGACCAAGTATTTGATCAATTAGGCTGTGACAATGCAGTCATACAGCTTTGCCTTGAAGTTGTTATGGTACAAGATAATTTTGGCCAACGTTTCGACCGTCCCGTCGTTTTCAAATGCCTAAATATGGCTCAAAGCGGTGAAACTCCGAGTTCGAGGGGGGGGGGGGGGGCACTCTTTGCTATCTTATCCGTAGTACTAGAGAGCACTCGCTATCGAACACTACGGATAAGATAATAAGTGAACGACTCATTTCGAGCGTACTTTTGATAAGGACCGGTGGATGTCCTACATTCCACACTACCTGCCCACATCCCATCCACTTTTCTGCACAGGTGATCCACTCTGGAGTCCCTACACCCTTACGTTGTCTGGTCCAGGACCGTTTCAGTACACTTTTTTGTGAGGGGTACACTTAAATGATCGACTACGTGTCATGAGCGCTCTCATCCTTATCTTGAGTACAGAAGTGGAGAAAATCGTTACGTCGGTATTCGTAAAGAAGAAGCTTCATTTAGGACACATATTCTGAACCATACTGGAGATGTTTTCAAGTAAGCTCGAAAACAGGTGATCCTTAAAACGATCATTTATTGCTCATCCATGATGGAGTGGCCAGCCCCTCCCCCCCCCCCCCCGAAATGGACTACTTGAAGCTTGAGAAGTGCACATTACCCTATCAGACGCCTCTACCCTGTAGTACCTGTCAGGGACGCACGGAGAATACCCATATCTCGAGAGATAAGCTCACATTGTCCCACTGCGAAGTGTAGCGAAACACTGTACTCAGTCAGTATTCATTAGAAATTAGTTCAATGATGTTAGTTCGCTGTCCTTATGCAGGTGGGAGGGATGCAAAAACATACATTCTACCCTTGTCGCACTTCAGCGATTTTTCCTTCGCAAATATTGTCTCCCTGAAGTTTTTACTTGTTTTCTTAAATCGATTAATGTTGGATAGTTTTCTAGAGGCATTAGCTCCACTATGCAAATCCCCTTGAAACTAGCTTTCCAGTAAAGGTCGTTATGGTACACGATCCTTCGAAGACCCATTGAGCTCGACCAGTGCACCATGTTTCCAGGGCAAATTCTTCTGATGCCGTCCACGTAGGTGGCCACTATGAAGATTTTCTTATAGAATGAAATGTGCTCTTCAATATAAGTTGGGAGCATTCGGTTTGAACTGAGCAAAGTGTGATTAAATCCATTTGAATGTGTTTTTGTATTGTCCCCCATACCCCCCCCCCTCCCTCTCCCCAGCACAGTCTCGAGTTTTAATATTGTGGATAAGCACATTCGCTAGTCATGGAAGCAACTCGTAATGCTGCATAAATGGCATGAGATCATGTGTAACGGAGACACACTTGTTTCGGTCTTTCATTTCTAGGTTTCTGTTTGAAATCCAGAACGAAA